ATGGTTTATTCGTTTAGTTTTATAACCCCTTACTAAGTTGCGGGTGTCGGGATCCCGATAATAATGTCGGACAATAGACCATTTTCCGTTCACTGCGAGAATCACGCGTTATGCGTGAAATCGAACGTAAAAACAGGACAAACAAAGGTCATAGCGTCGTAGTCGCGTCAAACATCGCGTGAGATTCGACAAACGCGAAAGTATTTTGGGGACATTTCCATGTCAATAATGTGCTGTACACATTTGATGATAGACAATTTCGATTAAAAGAGGATATTCGAATGCAATATTCCTCTGTCAAAGATCGGCCGGTCGATGTGAGCTACGAAATAAAGAAATTCGAGTTCAAAATCAAATCGTTCGATTTTTGCGGCAGACGTTCGACGCGCGTCTTTCATGCATCTCGCGAGATCTCGCAGTTGTACGGAAAATCACCAATTACAGCAAACTCAACTTTTTATGTGCCAGTCTGGTTTGAATCATTACTGTCAATTTATAATTGGGCTATCTCTGAAACCTCTGGCATAACTGCGCGAGTAGATGAGTAAACAAGCTGTGTACAGTTTTTTAGACTTCGAATGCTAGTCGGTATTTTTCTTACATTGTAAGTGTTTTTGTTTTTCATATCTTTCTATGTTAAAGCGGGAGAGTCGTCACCTGTGCATGCGTCAGATGGTCATAGCGTGTCACTGTTTACAAGCCCATGAGCTTTTGCCTTTTTAGCGTGTGTTGTTATCATCGCTTGGGACTCAATTCCCGCGCGTGCGCAGGTGACGACCCTCCCGCTTTAAGCCTTTTTACTGGCGTGTCACAGCGCGGGATACATATCTACGCATAAAATGATACTCTTTGCATGCATAATACATGTACATATATATGCTGAGTAATTAAAAAATTGACCTGTAAACACACACGGGATAAAATATTAGAATGCTCATGGTGTGTGTTTGTAACAGCACCTGAATAATACATTTGTGGTTTATCGACCATTTATTTTCCAGCTATTCACTTCCTAAGGTCGGACCATTAGACAGTATGAGAAGAGCGGTGGCAGAACAACTGTGCAAAATATTTGTGTTTTTTACTCAGTTTTGTGCTATATTTTTTTCCGTGAATTTGCTGTAATTTGTGTTCCCGCTGTCTAAAATATTTCCCCTCAGATTTAGAAGGACGTACAGATTTTTCTTTCCTGCAAAATTTTCATTTTGCTCCATATTTTGTGTGTGTGCATTGCTTTTTCAACCCAGCCATCGCCCTGGAAGTTTAATGGTCAACCTCTAATATTAAACGTATATAAGTGGCCGTTACGTACCACCAGTTTGGCTTACATGGATTAAAAAACAAAATTACGGACAAAGCTGAAATCGCAGCTATATATTTAGAAAGAAGGCTATAAAAGAATATAGCCCATTGACGGGTAATTCGAAAACGATCCGAATTTATACAAACTATACATATTCATATCATTTATGGAAAGAAGGCTTGTGTATGATATTTTTCATTTATTTTAAAGATAACCAACGGGAATAAAGCCCATTGATGATTCGAAAACAATTCGATTTTTTACAAACTATACATATTCATATTAAGGAGAAGTATGACTTCCTTTTCCTTTATTATGAGTTTTACAGCATTTAAGTCTAAAATATTTTCAGACAAAAACTATGCTACCATTAATTTTGTTGAAATCACACGCATAAATAAATAAATAAATACGAGACGCATTTCTTTATTCGTGTCAATTATGGAGACACAGCTGCGGCGGCTATTGGCGATTAGGGCGCCGACAAGAACATAAACAGAACGATTAATCATACAGCGACCAGCACATGACGGCGTGTACTGAGACCTTCCATGTGTACTGAGACCTTCCATGTCTATTCTATAATTCTTCACCGTTCACCAAGTATAGTTAAAGGCCGTTGGTCGTCGCGCCGCGTCCTGTTCGATATTGGACACATAGCAACGTATACAACGCGTGTAAAATACATTATTTGTTTACATGAAAATCGAGCACGCGATGTGCGTCGACTCTCGCCCTTTAATGAAAACACGTGATATACTGTAACTATAAATGTTTATACACTGAATGGTTGAAATTTGGGATTTATTTGTAAGTATGTCAATGTATTCTGTTCTCTGTCCATAGTTTTCTATATAGGTTACACTGTATAGGTGTTTACTGAGCTTTATGGGTCACTGACCGTGAGTTATCTTATACAGACTCTGACTGTGAAGAGTTACTATGTATATGCGCACTCTAGAGGGACTGTGGTACATGTTATAATATGAAACGCCCTTTCTACATGAAGACTTCAAAACCATGTATAAAGGGCGTGTCATTTTATAACCGGCTTCTAGCATGGCTATGCGCCCTCCAATAATGAAATGTTGTATTAGATTAACCAATCATGTGTGTTCTTTTGACGGTCTCCTGCCAATCAAGATCAGCTGACAAAGCCATGTTCTAACTAACTTCTCTCAATTTATACAGAGAATATTAATATAAATCGTGAATCCGGCGATCTGATTGGTGGAGGGCGCATAGCCATGTTAGAAATATGAATTACCCCCCTCCCCCAAAGTTCACATATCCTGGTACTTTCTGGTTTACACGTTAATGGTAAATGAGATTTTAATTAGTTAATATATTATTTGAGGGGGGGGCAACGCTAGATTGGCCCAGCCGTGGAAATTTTATAATTCTTCCTTAAATCTGGGTCCGATGCGAAATGAAGATTTCGCGTTAACGCGAGAGATTCTCCAAACTCGTCATTTGAAGAATTGTCATATAAAACAATAAAATCTGTGACCTTCGACAGTACTGAGTCATACATGTGGGCGTTAACTCGTAATATATCTTACTAGTATTGCGCGAGTTCGCCCTCTCGAGTCGAAGAATATTTTTTCAGGGCAACGTTTATTGTCATCATCAAGATAATTAGTTTGGGGTCTACACTTGTCTCAGCTGAATATATCCACCCGTCTTCTACGTTCAAATGCAATAAAAGAGACCGCTTGTACATTTCTGGCCATGGTCCGAGATCTTACCGGAAGCAAGATAAAAAAAACCTAAGTTACTAGTACTCATCTTTTGCATGTACGCCACCAACGTCGATACAGTATATTTGCGAACAGCAGTTTGGCGTGAATACTGACATGCGTTGAATATGAAGAATACTGTCATTATGATGGTCTTGAAGATTTGTGTCAATGCGACTTTTTAAAAAGTTGAACTAGTGACTTGGATATGATTAACGGTTATGTGTGACTGTTTCCAAAAGTCTGAGTGTGTATACTCGGTGTCACTTTTTCAGTTTTACACTCCGACTTTATCCCCTTTTCTATTTTATATAGATTGTCTCGGAATTTAAAAAAAAAAAGTTCTGCCTGTTTTCTTACAAGATCTTACAAGTCTCTCTGTTGGTCACGCTATATTTGTGGAGTTTATCTGCAGCACACGTCCTCGGGGTTTTACAATGTCACTTTTTTGTTCTCAAACAATGGCGCAAATTGTGTAAATGCCTATATTGTAGAAGTGTCAGTTCTCTCAGGTCAGGCTTCCTGGTTTCTTTCACAACAAAAAATCTCTTTCAAAAAAGATGGGAGAATCTGTCTATGGGGTATTATGGGGTATTATTGTTAATGTCACAATCTTGCGTTATTAGTTTTACCACGCTTGACAACCTTGTTATTAGTTTCTGAGGTTCACATGAGCGTTTCTTACATGATGCGTAAATATAGGCGGCCGGTTTTTTTTCAGAAGAGTACTGAGTAGTGGCGGAATCAACATTGGTCAAAATCCGGAAACTGTGACCGCAATGAAGGCTGGGAAGTTTTATAACGTAGGTAGAAGTGAGATTGATCGGTCGTTGACGAAGTATTGATGACCATGTTGATGAAATGCCATTACGTCATCGTTTTTAATTTTATTAAATGAGATTTTTTGCGTTTTTGAAAAACCTAACCTCAGTAGTCTGAGACCTTACATACTAGCCTGAGTACAATGCAACATAGTTGGAAAAAGAGATTTTTATTTTGTTCCTGGTGAATTCGATGGTGGTTTTAGTTGATGGTGGGTAGTGCATGCCTACAATTGCACTGTAAATAGTCTGACTTGTCAATAGTTTCAAGTTGATTCACGTAATCTACTCGTTGGTTTGATTTTTGATCGCCGGTCATCAAACAAAACATAACCTCTGACCCTTTGTGTCGGATCGGATCTGCTCCAGGGCGTGGTATATCACGTGACTGTTCTATGGCGGTCCCTTAACGCTCTGTAGTTTAATGTGTCGGTGTCCCAAAATAAATGAAACCCACTGATTAAAACAGATACTTTCGATTCCCTAGTTAACACTATGTTAAAGAATGTTCTAAGTGATGTTCAACCTACTTTTCAGTTATATTAAAACAAAACGCGAGTAACACCTGGAATTTGATTTGACCGCGCCTCAAACGAAAGTGACTCATACGCATCGCCCTAGGGGGTCCAATGCTGCAGTGTGTAACTCACTGCTACCAGTGATCGAGATACGCGTACTCTGAGTCTCCACCAACTTTGAACTTCGCATTAACAGACGTTTTTTTTTAATTCTTATCACTTTCCGAGTATGACAAGTCGTATAGTGGAGTTCATCGTTAGGACATTCTAGTAGATGTTTATTCCAGACGCCTCCAATTGCCTCGTTTAGCTGCCCACAGGTGAGAGTGACGAGCAGCAGTTGCCGTGTTTGGGTGGGGTCACCCGGTACTCGCCTGGAGTTTAAAGAACCAGTCTGCCGTTCGACGTTGCAAAAATGGATCGATGGAGTGTTATTATCTCCGCTGTTCTAGTGGTCATGCTGTCGGCCTCGGTAAGTGAGACTCATGCTAGAATTGAACGAATAAACCAAGCTCGTTTCTGCAATCCCACTTTCACTGGACGCACTCACCTGTAGAATGCATGCCTGGCATGCCATCCATTATTTTAATGACCTTTTTAGAAATTGCCCCGAGATCGCATATTAGTTAGTGAATATGTCCCCAATCTGATGAACGCAATCTGCTCTGAGTGACGTGAAAACAGACGCGCGTATAAGTGCTCCCTGTTCACTGCTTGTGTGTTGTGTTAATCATCGTGTACAAAATAACGTTGCATTGTATTGCATGTTGTATAAATAGATGGAACGTACATGTCTACTCTAAGGTTACGGGAGAATATGGGTCAATTGCAATTCCGACCAGACCAGACTAAATTAAAGACATTTGACTTTAAATCAAAGTTTTCTCGTATTGTACTTGCGTCACTGTTTCAACGTGAATTAATTACGTAGTATTTTAAAACAAATGAACAACGCAAGTACGTTTGTTTTGTTTTCTCAAAGGAATTAACGAATAATTCAGCATCCCAAAGTGCAATAAATTTCTATTGTTTCTTAGAAATGAATTGAAAGCATCGCCTTTCAATGGCCAAGTGTACGGTGTAGCAAAATCACTGCTTTAATTATCATTTTTCCTTCTGAAGCTGTTAATTTGTATTGGCTATCCCTGAAGGTTTTAAACAAGCAATATTGTAAATGGCCTGAGGAGAACATCGATCACCCCCCCCCCCCAAATAAAAGAATTTTTTTTACAACATTGCCAAAGTGTCAAATTGTTAAAAGCTGTATTGATGAACCTTCAGTAATGCAGTCTTAACATCCGTAATCACTAAATGCAATGGTTGATCTGTCAAGAAATAAGGTGAATACAGATATTGAATTACTGAATTTTTTCTTCGTAGCCCACAAATCCCAGAATTAATTTAAAACTATATTAGCTCTATTAGTAGTGCATATGCGTATGTAAAAAACAGATGCGAGTCTGTTAAAATAATTCATATTTTAATGATCTACCATTAATGTAATTTTTAGCGTACATATGCACTTCTATTGGAGATGCAATTCTAATGAAGCAAATATGGTACATGTATATATTATTTCTAACCGCATTGTTTTATCTGTAATGAACCTAACCTGCATATATTTTTTATATATTTTTTGTTTCTAATTTTAGATTAAAATGACAGAATTTTTGAAAATTAATGCATCATGATCTGAATTATACATGTATAATAGATTAATTTGTGGAAGATGTTTGAATTAATGTACTGTAGACTGCTTTAATTTCCTTAGCCAAATTTGCATGTTTTTGGAAAGGTGCTCTAAATCAGAGAATTTTGTAGGAGAATCTCTAGCAGTGAAAATTTATTAATTTTATAGTATGTATAGTGATATATAATAGCTGTTTCTACACATGTTGGGTTTTAATGTTCTTTTCTGCAGTTATATTTACACCATTTGGACAACATGTGCTGTCTATCCAATGGGCTGGGACTCTCTGCTAGGGGTATACATTTGTTTTAGCCACATAGTACGACTAATACTACATTGTTTTCTGAACTAAACACCAACCTGTTGAGCCACTCTGAGGCTGCAAAAAATTGTAAATATTGAAGTAGCAAATATAGTCAATTTAAATATCACTGGCGCCAGACAGGTTTTGAATTTCACATGTAGTGGTGCACAAGTAAATTGAACACGTTGATTAACGACCCACTCAGTGGTGTTGAATGTTTCTGGTTGAAATTGACAATGCTGCCATGTTGTAACAGCAAGAAGCTGGAATGTGACTGAGGCAATCTTTGTTTACTTGTTGTCGAAAGCATCAAGGAGATAGTCAATGGACTTTTTAATCACATTCCACTTGGATTTCTCTCAATGTTTCTGTTTCATTTCTAAAAATGTTACACAAAAGTGACAACACATAATTAGAAATAATTTGGACAGCGGGAATAGAAAACACTACACATACATACATGTAGTAATTTATAATTGGCCAAAAAAAATGTAAAAATGAGTAATTATCATGGTTTTATCTTGTTTTGTTCTCAATGCCTTAACCTTCAATGACTGTTTTCAAAACGTCTCTGGTTACTACATGTACCATTGTATATCATGACTTCTGGTTGAAACTAAACACAACACTTTAAAAAATAGCAAAGTGCTATGAATGAAGCGTTTGTTGATATGAAACTGAAAACGACGCGTTGGTGACACTTTCATGTAATATTGTGTAACAAGGTTCAACTTATTTACTACTACATTTTATAATATATACCTGGCTGGCATTGGTAGTAGTTACGCAAGTATTAGACTTTTAATAGGCAATGTTATCTGGTGTTTTATGTACGTTTCTGTGGCTGATCACATGTTTTTAGAGTCGTTGACGATTTTCTTGTATATGACTTGATATTAATCCTAGTGAAAGTGGTGGTGAAAATGACGCATTTAAAGATTTAAAAGCAATTCTTCATTAATGAGTGTTAAAAGGTTAATGGAAACTTAAAAAGGTTATACCTACTAGGCATAGAGTCAATTCATTTGCATGCAAATCAGTCAATTCCTTTGTAACAAAGTGGCTAATTAATTCTGGAATTCAGAATGTTATTTCTTTTTACATTACATTCATCATCCTGTCAGTCTAGACTTTTTTTATTTTCACCCTTTTTCTGATTCCAGCTGCTTTGCTTTTTATTACTTGTGTTATAGGCTTCCCTTGAATTGTTTAAATCTAATTTGAATAATTTCTTGACGTTGTCTTGAAATTTCAACAGTTCAATAGGCTGATATTATTTGCAATCTTCAAAACATTGTAGAGTACATTTTGTATTGGATTTTTTCACCTTAGTTTGAAATGAATACTGTCATTTCAATAATCCAACAGAAATTCTATCATTCTCACTATGAGATATTGTTGTCACTTTAGATAACATTTGATTCTATTAATTTGTTCATTGAGCAGCAAATTCTCTAAAATGGCATGTACATAAAGCTAGTTCAACTTTTTTTTTTACAGAAGAACTGGGTTTTTTTGTAGGAGTGCCATGAATCTTGTAATTAAGGTATCACACAGTTAAAAAAGTTTATAGAACAAAAAAAAATAAGCAGTGATTTTAATGTTGAACAAATTACAAATAAATACAAACACAATGATCTGTGCTGTAGTGCAATCTCTTCACGCTGTTTCACATGTGAACAACTTACTTGTTTTCAAGGTGTTACAAATGTTGACTACTACTCGTGATTATAATAACAAACAAAAAAACTCAACTTTCGTTGAAATCAATTTTTTTCGTTCACACACAAACCCTCAATGCAAATGTTTTGTCCATGCATGTTCATTAAATGGTGAAAACTTCTTAGCATCGAAAATCAAGCTCCTCGAATTGTTCTTGTGTTGGCTGAGATCCAGATACATGTATGCACGATTATTCTTCGTCATGAAGTGGTGCCTGGTACTGACAGCTGTGAGTAAGGATATTGGCATGTGATAATCACTGATGTCTACTGTATTACCATTTACATTTCCTGGTTGAACTGCAGTACATTGACATACATACATAGTTTTATGTATTATTTCAGACCTCAGAACCACGATGATGTACAACCATCAAACCACTAAGAATTCATTTCATGAAGAAAGAGATATAATTGGCGACTCAAATAAGAATATTGACAGCTTTAACAATTCGGTTATTATCATAATTTCCAAAACATAGCAGCCTCACTCCCCCAAAAGGATATTCCAAGGGTGGTTCACAACATATTCTTTTATTTATTTTTTTTTACAAAATGCAAAGCACTGTTGGTAAATTGTTTAATGTTAATAAGAAAAAAATTAAGATTCTTATGCAGACATAGAATTAAAACAGATAAGAAAATCAAATTAAAGTGAAAGTGACATATACTCGTAAATTTCAATTTAGCCTGTCTTTAGAAACGTTTTCAAATTACCGGGGGTATATTGTAATAGCAAACATTTGTATTGGCAAAAGTATAGGGAATTCTGTATACTACAGTAGTATCTCACTGTGGTGGCATCACAGGCACATGTATGTATGTATGTGAACATGCATAGATTCATTGTAATTAATAGGAATTTGCAAAGGAAGGTGTAATACCAGTAATAATATACTCTATTAACCTGCCAGTTCCTAACCACTTAAAAACCATGTACATGTATCAGTATCACAACTTGTATGATGATATCAGCATTGGTACAGTCAAGTGCTATGGCTACTTACGATTGGTCAAGTGTGAGCTATAATATTACCGTAAAGATTAGAGTACAAGTACATGTATGCACAGATGTAATGCATGTACTACCAAGTAGTATATGGGATGAAAATCTTGCATGAATTGAAGAAAGCGTGATGATCACAAAATGGCAGGACAAACCTATCATAACCTATCTACAATTCTACTAATGCAAACAAGCAAGACTGAGAAAGGTCTAGTAATCAACTCTGATTATTTTGATATTGGTCTCGCTTGATCTGATCCGTATAAACAAAAATTCTTTCATTAATTGATTTTCTAACACACAAATCTTGTTCACACGCATATATGTAAATACATTGTACATGGTGCATTGTGGTTATCATCACAGTAGAGGTTGGCGGTAATAAAGCAAAATAAAAAATATTTTTTCCCCGATTACCAGCCATATTTGTTTCATTAGAAGTGTATAGTAGAAATACACACGCATGTATACATGTATACCAGAAAATGCATTTATTGTATTCTGGATAATGACTTTGTTTGATCACAACCTCGGTAGATATTTATGCATACATATAAGTATAAAACACTAGGTGTTGTTATACATACATTGTATTTCAAAGTTTCGTCACAAGTTATAGCATGCTGTATTTTGCGGTATAACATGGTTATCTTGTATCGGTTACCTGTATACCGTACTACCTTATTAGAAATTACAAATTCTTTATATGGAATGATTATCTAATATTTCCAAGAGGAGACATTTGTGAAAA